TAGTTACAGTGTGTCGGAGACAAACAGTAAAGAAAGGATTGACGTATTTCGGAATATTTTAACGATTATTTCGTACTTGGGAAGAGGACAAAATATTCGTTTTGGGGACACTTTGTTGTCTGGTTTTGTTTTTGATCACCCTCTAACTATGCTGATTTAGGAGACCGCTTCTTAGAGGCATGGTCTTCGTGTAGAAGCTTTCAGTTTTAATTACCCTCTAATTATGCTAGACCAGTCTTAGCCGTGGTTTCTATTTAGAGGTTTTTATTTTGAGATCTAACCCCGGATCACCCATCGTATATATCTGTAGCAAAATTCCATTCATTGTAGTTGATAAACTGTAAATTTGTTAACGATTATAACAGGATTCACAAATGGTAAAATGCTGCAGCTGTTTGAATCGTGTGCTAGTCATGTTTTACTATACATCAATGAGTGAAATACCCTGCACGTATTCTGACTTTAGTTGGAGTGCCCCACTTTTTCTTGAATAAAAAGAAACACTTGTTGAGCGGAGGTTACGGGTTCATCCACGTAGAAGGACTCTTGTCCAATCAGTATTAGCGAATACATGGATGTCATTTACATTGACATCATTATATAGATCGATTTAGAATCAAACGCTAAGTTCTTGTTATCACGATAAATCAGTGTGTTGTACATTGCATGTCTTGATTTGATTTATTCAATGTTATTGTTGGCAGTAAAAGTCTGCTCGTAGGCGGTCATTTTTTTTTGTTACCGGTATTTCTTATGCGCTTAAAGAGCAGATGTCCAAGAATGATACTGTACTTCTAATTTTGGTTTACATACAGGCCCACTTGCAATAAAATTAATAATGGAAATTATTCTAATAATAAAAAAAACCCCCAAAACAGGAGTATGCATTCAGGTCTTTAGGTATTAAATTGTCATATCACCGACCAACACTAGGGCCTAGACTATTACCGTAAAAATAACTGATAATAATAACAGTAACAACAAAAATAATAATAATGATAACAATAATGTAATAGTAATAGTAATAATAATAATAATATTTATTTTCAGTCAAACATAAAATCTAATAATTTTGTTTCTTTTTTCAAGATAAAAGTTGAGATAAAAAATATAAATAATTATACTGCTTTAGCCTCTAAACCATAATGCGTTGCAAAGACACCATCCAAGGACCAAAATACATTTTCAGTAATGCATTATTATTATTATTAAGAACATTTTTTCAACAATCAAGAGCAAGATATTATTTGAAAATAGAACATAATAGAAATATAATCACTCATGCTTTAAGGTTACCCATGATTTCACATTAAAATTCCATTGGGTGGAAACATATTTCAGACTAGTTTTTGTGTTGTCGGTGTTTATTTATGTTAGCTTTATACTGGTTGCAATACACCTGTCTGCTACAAACTGTCTTGGGGATAATTTAAAAGACCCGACGAGCATGCTAAACGAAAAGTCTAAGTCAAGGCTAATTATAGTAAGTATTTGCCCCAGACTGATCCAAACTTTATGTAAGTGGGTCAAGGAAAATGACCGTCTGCTTATTAAAATTGAGCTACGACAATGGTAATGAATTCACTCGCTAATTAGAACGGGTCTATTACAATAGCTACTTTAATCAATCATATTTTATTTCGGAATTGAAATCCATAGCATAAATACAAAGTAAAAACAAATTACATAATATTATACCTATGCTATAATGAGGCTGTCTCTTATACACATCTAGATGTGTATAAGAGACAGATATATTACTTCCACATTAGTTCAATTGTTATTTATTTTAGATCATTACCAGATTATTGATTATCCCTACATTAACTACGTTCGAACTGTGCATGTATGCAGTCAAACTGAACTAATGCATCCCGCGTGCGCATTCAGGGGTAGAATATCATTTCATTAATGAATCCACTTAATATACTTGCCGGTAAACATTAATCCAATGGAAACAGCACTAAATAATTATTAAAACAGCAACTAATTAGGCCAAATAAAAGCAACATGTTTCCAGACCGAGATTTTTTAGAGAGAGCTTCACAAATCCTTAGCCCAACGCCTACTCAGTCGCGTATCTAGGTCTTGGATATTAGGCCTAGACACACATGTGTTGCTTAAAAGAATGTTGGTTTTTTTTTTTATAAATAAGATCAAGAATCAATTACAGTAGAATTATAGCAACAATCTGCAATGCAGATATGGTACAATTCATTAATAATATGAAATCAGCATAAGTGTAATTAAAACAACAATAGTTTCATATTTTCCCAATATTGTCTCATTATGCAATGTTATGACCAAATACTCTTCTTTTTTAAATATTGAGCTTTCTATTGGATGGATGTAGCATGAATAGAGTAACGACTTAGAATTAAAGGTGCATTTTATGTTATGGTATGGATTATAATCCTATATGAAAGTACAAGGAAAACAAAGCAAACGAATTGCCTATGGTTAAGGGTCAATATTGACAAGATTGGTTTATACGAAGTAATACAGTAGGCCTGTGTCGATGTTCACTCTAAAGATTCATAAGAGAAAAGGTGTCAAAATAAAAAGTTAAATAATTGTTTCTTATTCTGAGACTGCTGTAGGGAGGACACAATAAAAAAAAAAGTATCCCCTTAGCCAGGTTCTTCCAGGGGGGGGGGGGTTTCTGTGCGTAAGGTCCACAGTCGAAGCCCCGGTGGGGTCGGCGAACCACCAAAGCAAGACTGAGGATTTTTGTGCTTTATTGGTCTAAATAATGCTATAAAAGCAGATATGTTTGAAAATGTCTGTGTCTGGTGGGTCTGCAATGCATTAGTTGGGTTGGAGGACTTATTTGGGAAATTTAAAGAGGGGTTTCGCCAGAAAAGAGGGTGTTTGCTAGAAAAGGGTGATTCTCCCGAACCTTAAAACCTCCCCTGGATACGGGCCTGTGAATAAGTTTTTTCTGGCGAAACCCCTCTTTAAATTTCCCAAATAAATCCATAAACCACCCCCACCCCCTGGATACGGACCTGCTAGGGTTGTCCTAAAGGAGGGGTTCTACTGTATCTATTTAAAAATTTCGAATGCAACATCCGCCCAATCAGATGTCTAGGATTAATATTGTTGCTCTGTACTTGGAATTCCGTCTATGTGGCTATGTAGGCAGGAGGAGGAGGTGGTTGGTTGGCGAAGTAACTTGGTGGCGGTGCAGCGACCCCACTCGGTTGGAAAGCTACCTGTTGGTTGGTGGCGTACGCCACGTTGTTGTATGTGTTGACTGGAACCACATGCGGCGAGTTTGCTGGCATTGCGGTCCTAGCCTTCCTTCTTCCTTTAGACTCCTTCACACACATAACAAACAGGCCAACCATTATTAAAACACCGAACAATGCTCCAAATACAATTCCTACAATCTCACCGGCTGTTAAACCTAGTGAAAAGTTAAAATTTGTTTAAAACCAAAATCAAAATCTGTAGTAATTAAGCATTTTTGTTTTAATATAAACCGAACAATGACATACCGTATTCATCAGAATTATCTCCGCAATTATTGTGATTATCCTCAACTAAGAAGTCGTCGATGCAGAAATTGTTATCGCACTTAAACTTGCCAGACACTGAACCTTCAGAAAGTTATGAAACAAATAGCAATCGTTAGTAAACACTAAGCCACTTATAACAATAATTTATTCCGTGGATATTAAATTAAATTAAAATTTAAAAAAATTGAATTATACATTTAAAAGGATTATATAACTTCCAACGAAACACGATAGGATAATTAAGATTTTATTGGTTTTCATAGGGCTTCGTTTTACTGCAAGGACATCTATGACTACCGGTCAATTTAAGGGTAGGACCTGTTAATAATGGTAATAGTACAAAATGGACCATTTTTTTAATCAAACAGCTGACCAGTGAGTCTGGGTCTGGAATACGCACGCGCGTGTACTGGAAACTCACGTGTAGTCCCACAATCGTACGTGACGTGTGCTTTTACGCTATCGATTTGTGGGACTTTAGAAACAACATTAAAGAGGTGGGGCTTAGTGAAAAGGTTCATTGAGTGTCTGTTCAAAATATTCGTTTATATGCTTTAAAAAAACAATCACATATAGCGTAAAACATCCAATAATAACTCTGAGCTGAGTTACTATTTTTTGAAAGTTTTTTTTTAGCGTGGGTAACTATCAGAGTATTTGGCTACTATTAGAGTATTGAGTTATTATTACATTCAACATTCAACATTCAAGATAGAATTTATTGCCACATATAAAAATATACATGAAATTTGCTTTCCTGTGCTTATACAATAAAGCAATATAACATACACATCATAAAATATAAATACAAATATTTTAACTAACTTAACTAAATAGAAAGACAGCAAAATTGACTAAAGCAACAATGGTACCAATCTAAGACAGTGATTATCTGGAGAATTGATTATTGTAGAGCTGACATGTGTGTGGTATGAATGAATTTTTTAACCGGTTTGTTTTCACAGTAGTTTGTCGAATTCCTCCTATGTAGCCATTTAATGGGTAAGACTCATCCTTTAATATTCTTTCTAATTTCATAAGGACCGACTTATCACAAAAACTGTTATACTTGGAAGCTTAATTATTGTAGAGCTGACATGTGTGGGTTCTGGTTCTGGTTCTGGTGGGTAAAGATCTACCTCCAAAAGTGTGGGAATAAAACAGGAGGGGTAGAAACAATGTCGAATGACAGGAAAGGTCCACCACCGCAGAGTTTAAGCCGCGCAGCGTCAGTCATGAGCAGGCTGGCCATACCACCCTCAGGCCGCATAGAGTTTACGGTATTATTTATAAAATACTTACTTGCATTACACTCCATGAAGGAAGTAAACAGGAGTTTAAATCCGGTATAAGTTCTCGAAGAGTCCGTAATGAATTGAATATACAGAGTATTACCGGATGAATAGTACATTCTTGGCAGTTGAGAGCCACAGAGTCCGGAGCTTGGGGTAAGCAAGTTTCCAATTCCCTTTTGTCCATCATAGATCATTATTCGGTCATGGCATCCGTACGAGTTCGACTCCACTGCGAGTCGCTCAAAATTGAGCATGATTCGTCTGGAAGAGGCTGTGGTTATTGTTATGGCATCAGATTCGTAGTTCCGATAATAAGTTGATCGCTGAGAGTAAAGGATACCAGCGCCGTTGTACATTGTGTGGATTTTATTATAATTTTCATTGTAGTCACTGATGTACAACACTGTGTATTGCCCTGGGAAAAAAAGCGTTTAAGCCATTTGAATTTAATTTGTTCAATAATTACAAGTTTCAAACTTAAATAACATGCTTTGATGTAGTAGTGGTATTTATTGAATTACAGGTATTTATTGAACATATTTATACACGGTACCGGTAACATATCAGCGAGTGTAACAACCTGTTTTACACATGGTCCTCTTTTGTGATACAATATTGCAGTATATTATTAAAAAAATCAATTTGCATACATATAAGATAAAAAAAGTAATAGATAAAAAGCTTAATCTAAAACACAAAATACAATAACTTTATTTATATACACTCAATATATATAAATTAATCAGTAGCCTCACTAAGCTGCCACCACAGACCCCTGCTACATTCGTTACGCCACAGTCCCTATATACATATATAGGGTGTGGTTACGCAAAAGGGCGAAACGAAAGCTTTCGTGTGTTAGTAAGAGACCACTGGGTTGCAATTAATAGTGTGGGTTATTAGTTAAGAGCACTGGCTTACATTTAGAGTTACTAGCTATAGGGTGGGTTATTAACAGCACTGGTTACTATAGGCTGTTACCAGAAGGTTGTTTTACGCTATGTACGCCTTTATCAACTATCATATTGTTGGCCTAGTACGTTAGTAATAATAGTAGTCAGTAGTAGAGTAGTAATTAAATAGGCTAGGTATAGTAGAACAAAGAGGAAGAGGAAATCACCTAGTTTTAAAGCACTCGTTTATTCAATGATGGGGCAGAGAGCGAGACAGCGAATGCTTCCCAAAATCACCAAACGATGATGATAATCTCACACATTAGTAGGCCACGCGCAAAGAACACAGCAACAGCCTGCGTAGTACAGTTGGCAAAGTGTAGCACGGTCTCGGGGTAGAGGAACCAAGGGCGTCGATCCGTGGTTAAAAGTGTGGGGGGGGGAAGGGGGACGAAATGAAAAATAAAGCCTTGGGCCGTAGGCCCAAGTCATGGTTTGGGACCAGGGGGCGAAGCACCCGGAAGATCTGGCGCCTATAGCCTTTTAAATGATTTTAAGCAATGCAATTAACATTTATTTCTATACGAAATTTTCAAAATATCCAGTGGCGGATCCAGTAATTTAAAATCGAGCTGGGCCCAGAGAGGGACTTTCACAGAGGAGAGTGTAGACCACTTCAGCCCCACTATGGTTGGGGCTGAGGTAAGAAAATTTATAATTATGGCACCTCTGGTTGGTCGGAAATGGCACTCTCTGACTGAATTTGAATACAATTTTCATTTTTCTCCACTTTTAAACTTCGAAAAAAAAAAAAAAAAATAGGGATGGTGGGCCGGCTGGGCCCCTGGAATCTGCCACTGAAATACTCATCATAAAAGTTTTTAAAATTATCCTTTTAGTCATAATTATGCCCGCTTATATATTTCGTGCAAAAACATTCATAAAAAATAATTATTTAGGCCTATTATCTACTGATTATCTTGTGACGTATTCAAACCATGAAAAACAAATAACAAACTTAAAACAGTCATTAATATAGTCTTTTACATGTTAGCATTTTGATTTCATAAACATAAACGTGATTTACTTAATTTATCATTATCAGTGGCGGCTCCAGGAGGAAAGAAAAATAGAGGGGGGACAGGGAGGGACTTGCACAATTTGGGAGAGGAAAGTAATAGGAAAGAAAATTTATGATTATGACACCTCTATATTGCCGGAAATGGCACTCTCAGACATAATTTCTAATTATAATTTTCCTTTGTTTTTTCCATTTGTTAAAAATAATTTTGAAAAATTTAGTGTCGGCTCGGCCCTACTTGAATCCGCCACTGATTATTATGACGTCATATTGCGAGATTGCGTAAACACTGTTGCAAAATTTTGGTATCACTAAATCGAAATAGATAGACATGTCCGTGTCAAATATAATAATAATAATATAGTTTTATATAGCGCACATATCCATCTAATGTAAGATGCTCAGGACGGTTGATATGTGGACTAGGAACTCGATCAATGACTTTCTTCGCCCCTAAAGGTACCTTCGTGTCTGTGCACCCGGTTACCCGGTACCAGCAACTCTCGTCATCCACCACAGGGGCTGTCTGTTCCAGTACACCGCGATATCCCCCAAGTCTCGAAGGAGATACTGGGTTCTTTATAGTGCACACGAGCCATTGTATACACTTGGCCTACGGTTTATAATCCTTATCCCAGAAGACTTGTTCTACCACCAGAACCATAGGCACTGGTTCGAACCATAGGCACTGGTTCGAACCAGTGCCGATATTATGGCTATAGCTTGCGGCGCCCTTGCTAACCGCTCGGCCATTCGACTCACCAAAGGCTGTATAATTATTATTTAATAATGGCTATATAAATAAAAATCAATTGACTAACTATATTTTTTTAAATTAGTAAAAACAGTAATCATATATGTATGTAGATAATATTAAACACTAGTATATACGTACGGGTAATAATATACAAAAGGAATAAATCGTTTTTAGTAGAAATTGTGCACTTGAGTTTGTAAAAATATTGGCCTAATAAGCATACAAGCTTCCAATTTTAACAACTTTCAGTACATTGTTTTCACAATAAATTTAGCCTCTGATAACTGCTGCACCCCTAAAATCGATCTAGTGGTTTCTGAGATGGTTACAAAATGTATAAACAATTGCGTTTTTACTCGGTTTTGGTCCGCAAAATACGTACCGCACTTGGAAAACTGAACAGACAAAATTCATGAGTCATGCGTAATTGTTATTCTTTCCATTCGATTTTAAAGAGGGGTTTTAATTATAGAAGATTTGTGAAAAGTGGGGCAGGGACAATCGATATGATGTCCCCCCTACTTTGAAAAGTGGGGGGGGGGGGCGTCCTGTCCCCCACCGATCGACGCCCATGAGAGGAACTACTGTAGGCCTAATAGTCATAGGCTAGCATGATTCGGTAGTGAGTGGCAGAGTAGCTAAGCCTAGACTCTGCTGGCATACTAGGACTCTGACCACTAACCATTTGCCTAGTAATCTGTGAAATATGGTGATGTTTTTGTTACTCGTTTGTGTAGGCTACTTATCATAAATGTTAAGTTCTCTTCGAGGGTCAATACATTTTCGTCTTCATTGCACACACATCTACTAAATTCTGTGGACTAATCATCCTCCCCATTTCTTTCATCAGAGCGATAATGATTTTAACGTCATCGTGGGCTTCCTATGTTCTAACTTGCTAAAAGAAATCTATATCGCTTATGTGTACTGCAGAAAAAAAACCCGCTATAACGAATAGATAAATAATAATTAACAGTGCTCGAATAGGAACATGTTGTGATAATCGTATCAAGCACAGCTCATGAAGAAAATATGGGGATTTGAACCTGCAACCTCTCGCAAGGCGAGTATCATATACGTATACGCACAGATCTAACCCTGGGCACTTTCTGTCATACAGTACAACTGTTTGAAACGCTTGTATATCGCAGATATACAAGTAGATATATATACACACACACACACACCCACACACACACACACACCCACACACACACACACACACACCCACACACACACCCACACGAGGGGGTGATTGAAATTTTTAAAGAAGTGTGTTTTCTGTTCAGAACACACATTTTGCTTACACACAATAATTTTAGGTCTACATTTTTTTGGTTGCCTTGTGCATAGCGCCCTCTACTGACTCTTTTAAACAAATAAAAATTGCGGG